TTTTGTAAGGTCTACTCAGTCGAGCACCTTCCACCAATCATGGTTAGCTTCAAACTCCCTTCTGACTACCCAACCACGACTATCCCTGTTCTCTCTCTCGAATGCTCCTGGATCATGCCTGACCGTCTCCAATCCATCATAGACCAGTTGAACACCTACCTGAGTGCCAGAGAGGTTGGAGAGCCATGTTTGTGGGAGTGTTTTGAGTTTCTAGAATCCAACCTCATCTGTACGCTTCTCGGCCTGGAGAGAGATGAGAGTGGAGTATATGCCTACGACATAGAAGAAGCCGTTCCTTCACGTCGTATGCGAGAGCAGGTTTTGACGGTAATGGTTGAAAACGACAATGCTGAGAGACGGAAGCACTTCAAGGAGGAGAGAGTGGGATGCCTGATCTGCGCAGATGACGAGAAGATGGGCTGTGACTGCACTCGGATAACCGCATGCGGACACGTGGCGTGTAATGATTGCCTGAGGGAGGCGCTGGCCGTGCACATTGCAGAGGGCATGATGGCAGGCGTGCTGCGATGTCTGCATTGCAAGTCAGTGATAGAGCTGAATGAGGTGAGCGGATAAGATCAAATGCGATCTCCTCACTGGTCTTACACGAGACCGATGCAGAAATAGGGCGTTTCCATAAGTCCGAACAACTGCACTTACTACCTACCTTAACAATTTGGAAGGGGGTGTAGTAGTATTAAGACCACTTTCCAAAACCTGCTTAAGATTGGAACCATTGTGGTGAAAGCACTGAATCACAGTTTTCTTGTGATTTGATTGGCATGATTGAACTACCGTCCGATCAAATGTACAGTTTAAGGAAATTTTGTGTGTAAAGCCACTCATCTATTAATTTAGCTAACCGCTATCTATACTAACTGATAAGAGAGTGAGCGAGTACTCTTGTTTGCCATTTTGGTGTTGCCGTGCCTGTCCAAAGTATCGTTACTTAATTAATTATCATACTGTAATGTTGCTGCTGCAGAATGACCTTGAGGAAAACAGTAGATGGTATTAGCTTAGTGTGCCGTGATCCTAAAATGCGGCCTAACTCTCCGCTTGGCCCTCTCGTGTGTGGAGGGGGTAACTCGGGCGTACGTTTGCATCCCACTCTGAGTGCATACGATTGTGTTAGCTACGTCGTGTGATTAGTTATCCTGAAGAATGCGTCGTCACATCGGTGCCTTTGGTATACCTGTATTATTACACCACAGTGTCGGATTCCTCACTTTAACATCGTAGTAAGTTCTTTTGTTGTATTCATATGAGTTATTGAGTTAAGGTGAGTGGAATTGTTTTTAAGCGAACTTAAACTCAGTCTTCGTATTGCGCATTTTTGATTATCAAGAAATGTGCCAAACCGCGTCGGGAATAATTTGGAAATGTTGAACGGAATGCCCTGGTGAAATTGATAATGGACATTTCTTAAGTCGGAAAATTTTAGCATCCTTATTTAGTGACATTTTTGCTGCAATTTACCCCTCTTGCATACCCCTTAGTGGATCAAACTCTCATATTTGATGTTCTAGTCTATGACGATCCTGAACGCATGGGATGGTAGTGCTTTTGCGTTTGGGGGTCTAAAAGTGATAAAATGTCCCTGAACATTGCAGATATGGGATAGATGGGTAGGTGTATTTCAATCTGGCAGAGGAGTAAGTAGATTGCTGATTTGGCTGGCGTTAGCAAATTTCCCACAGGACTGAGCGGGATCTTATGGTCAGGTATGCGAGCATAGCACTGCTGTGAAGCTTTTCTTTTATTGTCAATTATAACTATTCTGTGTTGAGATGGGATTCGTCAACATTACTTTCGCCGTTGGGTGAGATGCATCAGGAAGTGTAGATTTAGGAGACGTCACCGAGAGCTGTGCAATTTCGTCCGCTTTTCTCAAACATTTGGTAGTTCGTGTGACGCGGAGTTCCCATGTACTTAGATTACAGAAACAAGTTGGATTGGGTAAGCAATATGGCGGGCGTATTTTTTTGTGAATGGTTTTGAGTAAATCTGGTTCCGCTTCCTTTCTTACCACTACACGGAAGTTGAGGTTGAAGAAATTGCCATTAGTCTGCGCGTTTTAAGTAATTCTTCCTGTATTGGAAGTGTCTCATTTCTTCTACACATTGGCTGGCTTAGTGACCAGCCAAGGGAAGATGGATTTGTCTTCTCTACTAGAGTGGGATTGCCAATGCCATCGACAGCATGTGCCCATACCATTGTAGCTCCACAGCACTGCGAAACTCGTCTCTTCAGTTTTTGTCCCCTTACCGTCTGCCTGTAATGAGCGGCACTTTATAGTAGTATACCGGGAGCATGTGAAGCGAATAAAATGAAGGTAGGTTCTGCGGCCGACCTCTCCTTCGAATCAGATGGAGATCAGCTGTTGATGATTAACACCGAGGAATGTACCCGCAGCAGTGCAGTCTGAAGCCTTCACAGCGTATGCAATATTCTTTAAGGCGGAGTCACTGATAACCCCCTTGTTGCGATCTGTAATTGATTTCGAACACTTCCACATCTGCTGTTCATTTAATAAGGAGGGAACACGTTGCTGAGGGCCTACAAAATTAGCTGAATATTCAATATGTAGAGAACTGTTTAAAATTGCCCCAACACGTCTTTCCGTTGCCACTTGGTACTATGCCTTAAACCCCTAACTTACCTCCCGGATTTCTAGTTGGTGAGGTCAACCACGCTGGTGGTGTTCTAAGTGGGCGAAATGAGCTGCTTCCTCCATTGTTGGATAAAGGATATGTAAAATAATCCCTCCTCACTAACTCTAACTAGAGTTAGTAAATAACTTCATACACCTTCACTTGTCTCTCGCGCACTTTTAGGTGAAGGAGTTCGCCACACCCTCACAGTTCGAGGTCTACGACGCCCTGCTGTTACAACGCAGTCTCGCTCTTATGAGTGACGTGGTGCGATGCCCACGTCCTGGCTGTTCGGGAACATGTCTTGCAGAGGATGATAATCTGGCTCGCTGTCCCATCTGTCAACATGTCTTCTGTCCACGATGTATGGGCCTTTTCCATCCCGGCCGACCTTGTTCACTTCGGCCCGCCGAGCCTGAGGCGGGCGGTGGGACAAATGTGAAACCAGAAGAGGGGAAGGGAAAAGGAGGGGAGAAGAAGGAGGAGAAAAAGGCGGGGTTCGTCCGATACGAAGAAGAGGAGGTCCCATTTCCATCAGGTAGCGTTCATTCCTTCTCGTTGACTAGTGTCTGACGTGCATAACTTTTCGCATGTGTTGGATCTTTTACTGTTGTGAGTAGTAATGCTTCAACTCTTGTATCATATTGGAATATCATATGATCAAGAAGGTTTTGAGGTTTTGGGTGTGCCTAGCTGCAGTGTCTTGTAACTTGCGGAGACTTGGTAAGTATACTAGATTGTCAATACGTACACACCACGTGGCAGAAGTATGTCGCTCTATTGATATAGTAATCCTTATTGTGCTTTGGATTAATTAGCCCTTGCTTGGAACCTTCACTTCATGATGTACTGGTTGAGCCTAATTAATGTGCGACGAGCTTGTTTGCTTTATGAATCGAATTGAACCCGGTTACAAAGCTTGAGAAGCCATCCGTTGGTTGAATGGACACAGCATTTGGCGAAGGCGTAGCATGCGATAGTGACAGGTGTCGTCCAGAAATGGTTGGGACTATTTGTTTAACTGGAGTGATGAATCAATCCAGGATGGGTGCGTGACCTTGAAGAAGGCCTATGATTTTTTGCTTTGAATAAAGAATTACCCACTACCACTGATAGGCTAAAATGAGATTATCTTAAGTGGCCAAGATCAACTTTTTGTTCGATCTCTATCCACCTACCTATTTTACCATCTGCATGATTATATCAGATGGGACTGGTAGAAGACATCATCTTCCTTCATTCTCCGTGCTCCTCCAGACGCTGGCTATCACTGCTTCTTGTCATTTGTGGAACCTAACTCTCGAGGATGTATAGACATTTCGGGGATAAGAGGGAGATAGTAATGGAGGTATAATTTATATTTAATGCTTATACTCTAATGAAGTTCGTTGTGTTAAGTTGTGGTGTAAAGGAGAAATATGCATTGTACCTTTAAGGAAAATATTCAAACTAATTTGTTGCAAAAAGGTGCTTAAATCGTTTTTATCATACGAATGACAGTTACTGGCTGACAGCCGAATTGGTTGAGCTGATCTTTCATCTTTTAATCTTGGGTGTTTATTCATTCCCTGGGCGCCACTACTGATAGTACAGGCTAAATCTCCTCAGATCTTCGTGAAATTTATTTTATGAACTAAATTACTTAACGTAGCTTGCGGTGTGATTTACTAAAAAAATAAATCATTTATAAAGGTTTAAGCTTTTAAATAAGGAGCTGCCATTAGTTTGAAGAGGAAACAACACAAAAGCAAAAAACGAGTGCGGTACCTGTAATTATCCTACTATCTGATTTATTTAACTCACATCCGATGTAGATTCTCCCACCCAAACTACCATGACTACGGTTGAGATCCGATGAAGTTGATGTTGTTGCTCGGAAGTTTCAAAGCAGTTTTATTCTTGGCATCTCCAGAACGTTAGCCCAGAATTCTTACCTAGCGTGTAAATTGACCCTTACTTTGACTGCAGTTGTAGCCTCCCAGGTTTACCTTGGAATCGTAAAAGGTCGATCTGGTCGAGTCAATATGGTTCACTCACAACAAACAAATGGGCTATTTAGGAAGAAATCAAAGCCAAGTTAATCTTTGCTTGTTCTGTTCGTCAAATAGAAGATGTCGGGTGGATGACGTGGAAGCTGAGTCACACATTGGATCCTGGCAAGCGTCGGGAACTCATCACCAATATTCTTACCACCCGGACCAACATAATGGCAGAGGTTCTGGTGTCTCGCAAGTTCAAGGAGACGAACCTCCACCGCTGTCCCAACTGCGGCCTGTTTGTCTATGTAGGTTGTGCTTTTCCCATTTTTTCCCTATTTACTTGTCAAACGGCTAAAATTTTGCCTCCTCATTAGACAGAGCATTCTCTGAGTGCATGTTTAGTGGAATTTTAGACGCAGAATATGATTGGCTGGTGATTATTAATGTTGGTTTGAATTGTAAGCCGAGTATTAACACAATGAATGAGGCTCCAACCGTCAATGAATGACATTCTTGAGTGAAGTAGTTGTAGTCTGGGGATTGAAAGCACCATTCCAACAGACTATTTTGGTCTCGAAGTTGACTGCAGTTAAGCTGGAATCCACGGAAATATAATTACTTTCATGTCGGTGATGTGACTGATGTTGCTTGTCCAACCATTGTGGGCGCATTGGAGGAAGTTACCAAGGGAAATGAGATGGTAAGATGGACTCTATCGTTGGAACACAAGGTGGAATTGAGAGTTCTTTGGCTTTAGAAAATAATGGCCAACTGCGATTAAACGCTTCTCACAATAAACTCTTGATATTTTCATATCAAACTTTTGCAAAATTTGAGTAAATAACCGGAACAATGCTAAACCAGATCTTGGCTGTGCAACTCGCAAGTTGCTTATATAAAGGCGAGTTTTATGTGAATTCTCTGATCGAATGAGGTGGGTGGACACCTCCTGTAGCCCTTCATAGGAAACGGTGAGGTTGTAACTTGTCTGACCAAGAGCTAGAAACTGATCCGACGTGTTTCACCTCGACATTCACTTGACCGAATCCCGTTGGGACACTCAGCATTGCTAATCATAGAAATCCATTTGGCATGCTTATGGGGTAGTGGAACAATTTACTACCATATCCCTTTTCCACTTCTTTGGATCAACTCCATCTTCTGATTGGCTCTAAAAAGAAAATGGACTCAACCCACGAAGTACTCCTCGCTAAATATATTCAACAAAATCGAGTCTCCAGGTCGAGTATTTTTCCCTCCGTCTGTTTAGTAAACTAAAAGCAAATTCGTTTTTAAATCGTGCTCCATTTTATCTGCAGTGTTTTTTGCGCACCTCTGACTCAAGAGCAGTAAAAGAGGTTTTCTCCTTTCTAGAAATACACAGGATGCAATTCGGTTTTCTGTCCGATCTGTGAGAAGACTTTCACCTACGGCACGTGAAAATGACAAAGAGTGGGGAAGTTTCACTTTTCACTGCAGCACACATATGTATATTTTGGGGTCTAACTTGTACTTGAAATGAAAGTAAGCAGAGCTGTTAGATGTTGCCTTTTTAAGTGATCGGCATGGAAAAGAGTCCCTGATTGAGGGCCATGTTTACTTCCTCCAAGATGTGAATCCTTTCATTATCAGAGTCTCAGAGAAAGGCCACCACCGTAGACCAGCCATTTCCTTGTCCTAGTGTCAAGCCAAGTGTTGCTATTTGGTTATACCCTTCCTATTTAAATAATTTCACTTTAATTGACACGTACATTTGAAGATGGGGTTGTGATAGGAAGATCGGGGCGTCGCACACAAGTGTATCAATAGAGTCATGCAAGAGAATGCAAATTGGCCCTAGAGCTATCGTAGCTTGATTATATGCCCGGAGAGGACAGA